ACCTCCCCTTCAAACTCACCCCCAGTCCCCCAAACTCACCCCGAACCTTCCCCTCAAACTCAGCCCAGCCCCCCAAACCTTCAGACCACTCCTCACGCTGCCCTGCTCTACCCACTAGACCCCACTCTCCTCGCACAGCTGGGCAGAGAACGCAGGCATCCTGGCCCCCGCTGGTCTAACCACTAGACCTCACTCCCCTCTGCTTTCTTTTACCTCATCCCCATTCCCTGTCTGTTTTCCACCCTCCCCTTTCTTCTTTTCCCCTCCCGCATCTTGCTACCCCAGCAGACCCCTCCCCCACCCCAGCCCCCCCTTCGCTAACTGCTCCCTGTGTGTCTAATGTAGCTTCTGCCCCCTCACACACACCCCTTCCCCGTCCCTCTAGCCCCTGGCTGGCTGGATAAGGAGTCAAGGCTGGAACTAGGGGTGCCTGGGGGGCTGCCCCCCAGGGAATTGGTTTCCCGCATATACGGGGTTTTCAGGTTGGCTCTCCGCACCCTCCCTGCACAGATGGTTCCCGCATCCCAGCGGGGAACCTGCCCTGGCTTGTTCAGCCATGGGGCAGTCCCCGGCGAGACACCCCTGGGTTTCAGTGCTGGGCCGTAGGCCTGGAGTAATAGCCCCGTCTGGGGACCTTTGACCCTGGCGGGGGGTGGGCAGGGAATAGGGCACCAGCCCCGATCTGGCCCCAGGGGAGTGAGGCACGCCATTAGCACAATCACTTTGGATCAAGATGTTGCGGGGCGGAGGGAGAGCCAGCCCCCACCCACCATTGGGCCAGATGGGAGCCAGCACCCCCTAGGAGGGAAAGGCCCCACACCCCATTCCCTGCCCCCACCCCAGCCAGCCAGTCCCTGCCCTGGGGCCGGATGGAAGCCAGCACCCCCTAGAGGGGAAAGGCCCCATGCCCCATTCCCTGCCCCCCTGAGTCTCCCGCCCTAAAGTGAGGGCGGTGGGGTGGCTGGTTATCAGGGCTCACCCCCCCACCTTACTGTCAGCCCAGCCTGGACACACACCACAGGTAATTACTGGTTCGTTAGCAGCCAAGCAAGCTGAGCAGATGGGCCAGGAGAGCTGCTCGCTGTGGAGAGGCAGGGTAGAGCGCAGGGAGGTTACCGAGCAAGCTTCGGGGCCAAGGAGGGAGAGAACCCAAGGAGTCCTGGCTCCCAGCCCCCCGGCTCTAACCACTAGCCCGCACTCCCCTCCCAGAGCTGGGGATAGAGGTGGACCCATTGGGTGCCCCAGCCCTGGGCTCCCAGCGCTGGAAGCAGCTGTGTGTGTGTGTGTGTCCCTGCCGCCCCCTGCTGGAGGGGCTGGGCCCTGGTCCGTGTGTGAGTGTGACCCCCGTTTGCTGGCGTGTGGGAGTGCACACTGTAAGGGGTGTGCTGTGTCGTGTTGCAGTTGTGTATCGCTGTCTGTGTTGAGTTGTGGTCTTTGGTGGGACCCCTTGCCCGGCACTGGGACGTGGCCCCTCTGGGGTTGGGATGAAGGGCTGGTTATCCAGGGATCCTGGCAGGGCGTGGGGCTGGGGACAGGCCACTGGAAAAGGCAGAGCGGCGGCAGGGCGGGGAGGGGCAGATTGTGGGGGGCACATGGACAGTGCGGGACAGAGATTCGGCCAGGGCGGCCCTGGGGCGGCAGCAGGAGCGGTAGGTAGACAGCGGGATGAGCCGGCAGATAGAGGATTTAACATCCCTGCCCTGGGCTGCATGGGAGCCGGGGCTCCCTAGAGGGGAAAGGCCCCGGACCCCATTCCCCACCCCCATGAGCCAGCCAGTCCCTGCCCTGGGGGATCAGAGCCAGCGCCCCATCAAGGGGACAGGCCCTGGCTTTCTCCCATCCCGGCTGGTGTCACTGGGCGGCATTTCTTCAGCCCCAGGCTGCCTCCGCCTGCCAGAACATCTGGGTTAAGGCGAGAGATGGAACCATGAGTGCAGGCCCTGGGGACATCTGTAAACAGAGCCCCCCCCCCAGCGCCCCCTAACCACAGCACCTGGGGGCAGCCCAGGGCTGGGCTAGCAGGGGCTGGGGGTCAGGAGTGAGGGGCACCGGCAGAGCTATGGGGGGAGCCCAGGGCCGGGCTAGCAGGGGCTGCGGGTCGGGAGTGAGGGGCACCGGCAGGGCTATGGGGGGAGCCCAGGGCCGGGCTAGCAGGGGCTGCGGGTCGGGAGTGAGGGGCACCGGCAGGGC